GAAGAAAGGTGGAAGTGAAGACCTACAATTACTGCTAAGCAATGACAAAATTACTGACTAAATGCATGGAAGAGTTATTACATGGATCATGTTTGTTTAGTTTTTTAGTGTATGCTGTGCCATATGTTTTCGTTTCAGTTCTGAAAAACTGCGGCAACTCTCTCGTCCTCATTACACAGAGAGGATGCCAAATACTAGCCACTCTTTCTTACGAAAGCCTTTTATACTCTTTGAGCCACGTGTACTGAGAAATTCTATTAATAGTCAGGTATTTCTCCAGTCTCGTCTGTTGCCTTTCTCCAAATAACTCTTACCTTTTGCTTTAGCTACAGAGGTAAACTTGGGGAGAAAGCTCTTGGATTAATAACCTCACTAACACTATAAACAATTTTTCCACTGCTTATTCATTGACTAATTTAACCCTGAAAGCAGTGCACATATGAGAGGACCTCTGCAACAATACAGACAGCATATGTGTATTCATACCCTCATAAGTTACACTGATAGGAGCAGTGCTAGAAAAGGGTGCAAATACAAAAGAAGAAATTTCAATTTCAGTAAAAAAAAACTCCATGTAACTCATTTAAGAGCCTGAGATTGCTGCAGTCTCCTTGCTCTTCACTGAAAAAGCTGCAAGAAGCAGGCTTGGTGGGTGCTGGGAAAGACGAATTCCTACAAGCAAACTAGACCCTCACAAATGACGAAACGTGGGAGGCACTCCAACATCCCAGTTAATGCCAAAACAATAGCCTGGCACACAGGAGAGTGCTCTGCAGCCTGAGCTGTCCCCCATAGGACATCTTGACATTTGTAGCTTTTAGAGTTCTAACTTCTTGTTACAGTGCGATCTTCTCGAAAACTCTTTAAAATTGACTAATTTCATCTTGTTCCTGAACGATGTCCCTTGCTTGGCTATATACCCATCATGTGTGCATGGGCCCACACTGTCCTACACGAGTTCACGCTAAAGTGTTCGCACAGTCCCTGATGGTTTTCACCAGGGCCAACAAATATCCTCCTCTCTAATTCTCACACATTCATAGGGTCACAGGCTAATACAGGGCAGGGACCTTTCTTGACAAGGAAGCCTGGATATAGCCATGCTCTTTTAGAGGGGGGCTGGGAGTTAACCTGCTTGAACAATGAGCTCAACTGCCTTCAGGACCAGAGGACCACCACTTTACTTATGAATGGAGGTGGAACCATCATTTCCAAGCACGCACAGTGGCACACCCTGTTTCTAGATTCTGTCAAGTCACACAACAGGAGAGAACAAAGCTCAATGTGACACTAACAGTTTCATTTTTTAAAGTAAATGCAGTCAAATATGACACTGGCCTGGTTGACAACATGGTCTTTCTTCATCATTTAGAGTATCTTGACTTAGGTTCTGAAAGATAACCTCATATGTTCATAGCCAGCTGCAGAAGTCACTGGGTGAAACTTAGAGCTACAAAAGGCCAGACTAAATACTTGCAGTGATGCTCTGTGGTGTCAAAATGTTATACGCTCATGCCTTTTCAGAAATAGACATATCTATTGCTTTCCCTGTTCTCTGCACACAGAGAAAGCAAGAGTTCCCACAAGGGGCTACAGACATCCGTGATGAATGCAATGACACCTGCAATCTGCTCTATCAGCTCAAATGCTTCTGACAGTTCTCAGGACCGATTTTGTCCCAGGCCACTGGGAACTGGAATCAAGTAATTAGGATCAACACTTGGTCCAAATCCTTGGTGAACAAGGCAGAGTCAACAAGTACAACATGTACTAAAACCCTCTGCCTACTTAAGACAGTTTAAGAGAAAGGTACAACTGCTCCTCATAAACTCCTCTTCATCTATTTCTAATACCTCGTATAGGACACTCAGGGACAACTATTCAAAAAGAGTTTGCACAAGACTTCCTACCGCGTCTCATCGCAAAAAGTCCTGATCATAAAGCAGCAGGGTCACCACCTGCTTACTCCTGAGCTCCTTTCATTTAGCAGACAAGTAATCACTAAGGTGGTTAACGAGTGATAGCAGTGTTTTCCAATCTGACATGAGATTTGTATTATTCCTACTGCAACAGTTAATTTCAGAACCAGCATCATTCTGGGGCAAGTCTAAAAACTTTCATATTCAGAACCGTATTCACCTTGAGGGCTTCTGCACACAAATGTTCTTGGAGAGAGTGGAGCACTCTGGTCACAAAACCCCCTTGCATGGGCTGATGGCCAAATTAGAAAATGACCAATGGAGAAAAGGAGCAAGCATTCTTTCACAAAAGAAACACTGTTAAGCTTTCTGTGTTATACTGAGTACTTTTTAGCATCTGGAGATGGAAGAATTGTCTTTACAATCAGATTCTTTTTGAAGAAAATGAAGATCCTTGATGAACTGTGTCAAAATGATCAGCATACCACCTTCGCCTTGATATGATCACCTTTTAAGAGTGGTAGTCCTGCCCTGAAAATTTCTGAGCCTCTTTCACATGTAATTTATACAGACGTGTTACTCCAAACAAGTGCAGCTCAGTAGACAATGCCCCTCAAAAGCTGCTTTCCTCTAAAGATTGCAAGAACAAGTCTTGGAATTGTTCTTTCTTGGACCAGTAAACACTAAGTGATGGATGAAAGAGGACTTCTTTCAGGTTTTTTTTCAGAGACAAAGCAAAGAAAAACTCAGCTAAAGGTCTGAAGAATAGAGAGAAACTCTAACAAGAGAAAGCAGAAATGGTGGATTAGCCTCCAAGCTGCTAAAAACCTCTTCATTTCATAACTTCAGTACTTTCAAGCTACCACAGATTAGTTTCTAAAAGTTTCTTGGAACATGCAGCATTACTGAAAGTGAGCTGATCCTGAAGCCATATTTCACACCAAAAAGAAGCCATTTTGCACTTGGACTAGATCAGTGACTTGAAAATGCCAGATGATATTCACCAAAGTTCGCAGCAAAGTCCTCCCATTACCAACCCAGCTACAGTTGGTGACTATAAATGCAGACTGCCCTTCCCGTGTGATGCACGTCAGAAATCCCAGCTGATGGTGTCACAGGGCTTCCCAGCGCACAGAGCAAAACTCCTCCCCGCCTGTTTCAACACAGGCAGATCTCTCTACACTTTCTCAGCCACTCCGACAACTCTTTTTCCCATGTACATCCCAGCTCTGAGAGTCTTCATTTCGCACCAGCACCACTGAGCTCCACGCTGCCTGCCTGCGTCAGTTGTTTGGATATCGTTAGATTGCCCTGACTGAAAGCCCTAATGAGGTGCTGATCCCATCATCCAATCACTCAGCTGAGCCAGAATGCACCCCGTGGGACAGCCAGAAAAGACTGATGCAAGAATTCCAAGTGATGTGTAACATCAAAGGGCGCCATTCGCATCGCTAGGACTCATGGCCTGTCAGCACAGCCATTAGAAATCCTGGGCTACAGAGATTTATAATTCAACCCTCCCACACACAGATCTTGCTCCAGACTGAAACTTGGCACAAAATTCAGTCCCATGAGGGCATTCAAAAACTAACCCATTCAATGGTTTCCATCCCACGGCTTCAGCTCACAGCCATTTAAATAATGGCAATTTCTCATTTCTCTTTTTAACTGAGGAAATCCAATATAAAACACCAGATTTACATAACACTGCAGTGGTGATACAAGCTGGCAACAAACCCAGGGAGAAGGCTGCCAGAGCCATTCCGTCATCCCCTTTTGGTGAATTTCTCCATTTGGATTCAGTTTAACGGAATGATTTTTATTAGGCCTAGCTGACATCATGTGTAATCTGCAAATCCCACCTCCACATTGGTCAGGCAGCTTGCCTGAGCTTTGTACACCTTGTGTGCCTGTTAGAAGGGGACAAGCCATCCTGTAGTCACACAGCCTTCCACTTGTGCTGCTACTGCCACTTCTTTGATGCAAACTCTGCTTGCTGATGTAGAGGACAGTACTTACTTGACTATTGAGCTGCAAAAGACATACTGGACAAGGAATGGACATACACAAAACAAAGAAGGGAACTGATGCAAGCCAAAAGAAATTTGTCAGTAGAGCCTTTGATTTGATCAGAGATTGTTCTAACAACCACCACACCTGCTTCCACAGAGAGAGACAGATCCAAGCCTATTGTAGCTGCAGACCTTTCTCCACCAGGTACTTCAATTCCTATAGGGGCCATCTGCAATCTTCAGTTTGCCAGGGTAAAAAAATCTTGGAAGTTCATGCAATGCCACAAACACTTCCTAATAAACACATGAGACTTCAGGAAGACTGCAGCAAATGACTGCTGTGAGCATAAGCCTTCTGCTCCACCACCACCCACCCAGAGAGGCCTTTGGTGGTACATGTGGGATAGCAAGGAGCTTGTGTCACCTGCAAAATATACCATTGGCAGGGTGGGCTACTGGCTCCCATCTCATCACCACCAGCACCACTCTCCCACAGCGTAACTGAGACACAGCCCCTGCTGCCACACTCCAGCTGGAGGACAAGGCATGTTACAAACCATCACTAAAGCATCTGATGGACTTTTCCTGTTCAAGTCCACAAGTAGTACAACTATAAAAGAATTAAACAACCAAATGCTATGAAAAGAAAATGAACATTGGTATCAGTGGTCAGCCCCAAGGCCCCAAAACTCAGAAAGAGGAGTCTTTCCTGTTCGTTAGAGAATTACTGACTTAAAGGTACTTTACATCAGTTTGGCCTGTCTCTGCTGCTGTCAGCAAAGATGTTACAAGCTACGGCAGTCGATGCCAAAATACTTCTTCCAGAATGCGGTGGTAGGTCTAAATTGCCATTGTTGCACTGACTCTCCCCTTGTACTAAATCACCCTCCACGTTCCAGTTGTGAAAACCCTTTCGGGTTTCTGAGACCTCCATGTACAATGCTTCTCTGGAACAGGAGAAAAAAGCTGAGCCCAAGGGACCACCTGAGCTATCAAAACAGAAAAACAAGATGAGGTAAGCATCTGCAGAACCACCTTCTTTTTCAACAGCTGTACGGTTTTCTCATACCTTGTCCTTTAATTCCAAAAGGGGGTACAAAGTCCCTGATACGTGCCCATTTCCTGAAGGAATCATCCAAAAACATTGGCGCCGGCTTCAAGAACCTGAGAAAACCAAAATGAGAGAGAAATTAACTCCTGAACTAGGAAAGATAAATTTCTGTAGGGAGGTTGAGAGAATCCATACCTAAGTGCTTGTTCTACATTCTCAATGGCAATACAGTAATGTGTAAGATTTTACTTTTATCCAAAGGCACCCGCAGTGGAACAAATCTGTCAGACTCTGTGCCATGACGACACACAAAACACCCAAGTCATGAGCCTGCCAATCACTTCCACTCAACAATTTAGAGCTTCCCCACCATGTTTGGCTATTAATTTAGCTACAATAAGTTGCAAATTGCAACCAGAGTTTAGGCAGTTTACTGCCAGCTTTGTAAGCACAAGCCAATTTATGTGCTGTCTATGTGAGTGTGCAAGGAAGGAGTGCAGAGTTGGCTTTGTACTCTTTATTACATATAAGTGTGCTGCTCTGTGCAGGTGTGAATGGAAAGAAAAGCCAGGGTTACCTGCTCTCATGGCTGCTTCTCCCTCACTCATATGCACATACACAGCAGCTATCACAACACAGGCAAGAAAGTGGTTCAGGAAACCATGAAGCAGTGCTTGGTTTACAGAGAACAGAAATTCAGTACAGATGTAGGTGTTTTCTTCTGCATTAATTAACACATAAATGATTCTAGAGATGTTCTTGCCAAACCAAACAGTTGTGATCTATCCAAAATCACTTACAAAGGAGAGAATTAGTCCTTCTTAACCGTGTCATTATGGGAATACATTATCCTAATTACACCCTCAACAGACAAACAGAGCAGCTACTAAAAATTTGACACTTCTAGAAACAATTACTACAGTGGCCAGATAGAAGGAAACAATTAGCAAAAGAAACTACAGAAGTATTAACTTTCATATGGGACCATTTCTGAGTGTATCAAGATCACTACTAGAAAATATGTTAATACTATTAGAAATCTGTTCATTCAATCATATCAAAACAGTAGCAGGGATGTTCTGGATAAAAATCAATCACACTGTGCTACAGAAATGAAGAAAGGAATGTACTGCATGTTCAGAGAGTACATCTCCACTACAGCCATACTGCAAGTGCAATGTATACATATCTGAAACAGATACAGCCTGGCTAACCTAGGTGCTGGTACCAGGACAGACATAATGCATTGGTTTAACCCTCCCTTCAGGCTGTTTTAACATTCAGCTTGCCCAGTAAATCAGAGGTTGCAGAAAGCTCTGGGAAGGGGGAAGAGAGACCAAGAGTATTTCACAAAATAAGAAGACTCAAACTCACCCATGCATACCACTTCATATGTACTCATGCCATCTTTAATAAGATCATCTATAACCATAAAAGCAGGATGCAGAGATTACATGGCTGATCTAGAAGGAAAGGAATGTTTTTCCAGAGCTGAAGATAGAAAAGGATCTATATAACTTTATCTAGGAAAAGGTGGGGAGACGTGTTAGATATATAAGAGCTTCTGAAGATGTTAAGTAAAAAACAAAAAACCACAGGCCTATTTAAAAACTAAAAGAGAAAAAGAACAGGATACAATAATAGTCCAAAAATATCCTAAAAACTTCAATAACCTGACAAATTAGTTTGATGTTTTTTCAAGCATCTTGGTGCACTGAAATGTAAGTATTATGTTACACTGGTGGGTCTCCAAGGAGTTACCTTCACCTCCTTCCAACATCAATAGGAAGAATCTTCACAGGATTCTCATAAAATGCAAAAGCTTTTATAACCTGAATGTCTACAGCACAGATGTTCACAGCTCTTCCTTTATAGCTACCACTTGAACTAACAGCACAAGCCAGGTCCCACGAAATGGTCCCCATTCTCCCCAGCCAGCAGCCACAGTGAAGGACGATTACATTGCCTGGGGGTCACCAGCACCTTTGGCTGGTTCGTTAGGTCACTGAGCTACTCTGGTTGCCTCTGTGACATGCAATCTTCAGGAAAAACCTGGATGCTGCAGAAAACAGATATATGAGCAGGTTTTATTCTCCTCAAGAATCAAGAGGATTCCCTACAGTAATGCTACAAAGTCATACAGTGTAAATAAAAAACGTAGCCAGTTCAGTTCACCTGTTCAAGAGCACTGCATGAGAAAGAAGGTACAGTCTGTAAGGCCAGGCCTAACTCAGAACTTGCCATTATTTATAGATTCAATTAACTGGCCTATTTGCAAGTCATACACCAGGAAAAGGGGAGTCCCCAAAAGCAGCTGAAGCACCAGCAGGACTGATGTGATACTCTGTGGTGTCCCTTCTGCATGTAATGACCAGGGGACCAAAGTGATGCCCAAAGAGAAGGGTGAAGTGACCACTGTCCTTTTCATAGAATTACAGAATCACCGAATGGTTTGGGTTGGAAAAGACCTTAATGATCACTGAGTTCCAAGTCCCCTGCCACGGGCAGGGACACCTCCCACTAGCCCAGGTTGCTCAAAGCCTCATCCAGCCTGGCCTTGAACCCCTCCAGGGATGGGGCATCCACAGCTTCTCTGGGCAACTTGTTCCAGTGCCTCACCACCCTCACAGTGAAAAATTTCTTCCTAATACCTAATCTAAATCTGCCCTCTTTCAGCTTATAACTATTACCCCTAGTCCTATCACTACACCCCCTGACAAAGAGTGCCTCCCCATCTCTCCTGTAGCCCCCTTCAGGTACTGGAAGGCTGCTATTAAGTCTCCTCGGAGCCTTCTTTTCTCCAGGCTGAACAACCCCAATTCTCTCAGCCTGTCCTCTCCAGCCCTCTGACCATCTTCGTGCCTCTCCTCTGGACTCTCTCCAACAGGTGCATGTCTTTTTATTGTACTTGCTACAAGTAAACTCAGGGATTTTTCTAGCAAAGAGCACAATAGCCTTAGACCACCTACTATTATTTGGTAATAATAGCTCTGTACACAGAGCTAGTGAAACTGATTTTTATTTCATACTTTTGCTTCATTTAAGAGCGGGGAGGAGTAGTTTTGGGGGAAATATTATATCCATATGGCGAAAAAAATGAGCAAATTAGAGGATATTTAGCATCCATAAATCTTGGAGGTAATTCCATTTTGGAAGTATTAAGAAATCATGAATGCTGTAAGCTCATGATCTATGACAAGTGCTTTGCCACCTCAGTAAATCAGCACAGGCCAGAACGGATGTCCAGCAGTGACAGGGAAACGCTGTCTGCCAGACCTCTCCGGGAGCATGGCTGTTCTGTCTCGGTGCTGCAGCGTGTCTGGCGTGTTCTAGGACCCTTCAGGAAGTATCAGGATATGCCTCAAACAGGCCATGGGAATGCTGTGCTGCAGAGCACCTGAAACACGTTCCAAGGAACGCGTGGGAGTCTGTCAAACAGCAAAAGTAAATGTTTCCAAATTACGTTAAATTTTGTATCTACTGAGCAACTTGCATAGGGGATGCTGCATTTTACCTGAGCCATCTGTCACAGCTGCCTAAAGGCAGGTGAGCTTCACCGGCAGCCACAGCTCCAGAACTGAAACAGGCTGCTGCTCTATGGGCAAACAGCATGTAAAGCCAGGGTTTTGATTTTTCAAATTTAATTTTCAAGCCCTTTCTATCTACCCCACCCCAGTTCCAGAACAGGCATAATGCAACCTCATAGCACACGACAGCCATGAAAAGATGAGATATTTCCATGCTTGTGGCACACTTATGACCTGTGTGATTTGGGAGAGAAATGCCAAGCATCTAAAATCTCCAGTTTGAATGGCACACCCCAATAAAACAGCAAATGACATCTAAATAGACTAAATGCTGGACATGATAATTACAAGGTACAGTCTAAATCTCTCCCAGCTCTTAAGTTTCCATTCCTTATATAAAGACATTAGTAAAACCGCTAACACAATTTGTCACCACATACAGCAAAAGGAAATCTGCTGCCAGGAAACTATTCTTAAACAGGAATCTATATACACAAGAAAGTGTGATATACATTTGTGCCTAGGGGATTACAGCTTATGCAGCAAAAAATTACATTTCCAGTTATTTTCTCCCTGCCAAGTAAGAAGAGTTGTGACCCCAAAACACTTCCACCTGGAGAGCAGAACTGGCCTGCTCAAAAGCTCCCCAGATAAGTTTTTCGACCATTTCCATTCTGTCCTTGATATACAGATCCATTCACAGCTACTCCTCTTCAGTGTGTGCTGAGGTATTTGATATCGGCAGCACCAACTTCCCAAAGTACCGCACAAATCCCAGACCAGCCCCACCTCTACCAAAGCAGCTGTTGAACAAGTTCAGATGTTTAATCTTGACTAGAATCTGCTCCCTACTCCTACCCACTGCTTTCAAGGCAATTAATACATAAATGTGTATAAGGCAATAAGCTAGACCAGAGAGAAAGCAAAATAAATAAAACAATTCATAGCCTTTGGCTCTAACAGCGAGGGAGGAAGACAAGGCCAAGTCCCTGAAAGTGTAGAGGAAAAGATGTCATCATGTTTCTAGAAATCATGACACTAAGGAAAGTCAGATTGGCAGCCACTAAGCTCCACTGGGGGCTTGTTTCTCAGATATTCCCTTCCTTTTTTTCCCCCTCCTACTTTAAGATGCCCCGCACTTTTGTTTCTTCTTTAGTTAGGGAGAAAATCATCAGTGAATAAAAACTGGAAGGTGAAAGAAAAAAAAAACAAATGGTGCTAGAACATAATGTTGCAGATAACCTGTGCACTGCATTTGTAAAAGTGCATGAACAACCCTTTTTTTTTTTAATTTTTTTTAAACACACAAAAGAATGACTTATTTGTTCTGGCCTGAGTTCTATCCTCCCCTTTGTTTGCTTATGCTCAAAAGCATCCATGGTTAGACAGAAGGCACAAAATCTACCAATTTTATTAATAAAATGTCCAAAACACATACCAGAGCACTCTAGCACTGAATAATTAGCTCTGACAGACACATTTATAAAAGTACACAGAGAAAATCTAAACTAACCTTTTCCTTTTTCCCTAGTGAGACCTAGGTGTATGTTCTCTCCCTTGCCTCCTTCTCTGGGGAGCAGCATGGT